CTTGGTTCTGTTATAATGCTACACTACCACAGTCAACTCATGGTTCTGGTACTACCACAGTCAACACTATAACGCTACACTACCACAGTCAACACTTGGTTCTGTTATAACGCTACACTACCACAGTCAACACTTGGTTCTGGTATAATGCTACACTACCACAGTCAACTCATGGTTCTGGTCTAACGCTACACTACCACAGTCAACACTTGGTTCTGTTATAACGCTACACTACCACAGTCAACACTTGTTTTCAGTATAACGCTTCACTACCACAGTCAACACTTGGTTCTGGTATAATGCTACACTACCACAGTCAACACTTGGTTCTGGTATAACGCTACACTACCACAGTCAACACTTGGTTCTGTTATAATGCTACACTACCACAGTCAACTCATGGTTCTGGTATAACGCTACACTACCACAGTCAACACTTGGTTCTGTTATAATGCTACACTACCACAGTCAACTCATGGTTCTGGTGGTATAACGCTACACTACCACAGTCAACACTTGGTTCTGTATAACGCTACACTACCACAGTCAACTCATGGTTCTGGTATAACGCTACACTACCACAGTCAACACTTGGTTCTGTTATAACGCTACACTACCACAGTCAACTTGGTTCTGGTATAACGCTACACTACCACAGTCAACACTTGGTTCTGGTATAATGCTACACTACCACAGTCAACACATGGTTCTGTTATAACGCTACACTACCACAGTCAACACTTGGTTTTTATAACGCTACACTACCACAGTCAACACTTGTTTTTAGTATAACGCTTCACTACCACAGTCAACACATGGTTCTGGTATAACGCTTCACTACCACAGTCAACTCATGGTTCTCTTATAATGCTACACTACCACAGTCAACACATGGTTCTGTTATAACGCTACACTACCACAGTCAACTCATGGTTCTGTTATAACGCTACACTACCACAGTCAACACATGGTTCTGGTATAACGCTACACTACCACAGTCAACTCATGGTTCTGTTATAACGCTACACTACCACAGTCATCTCATGGTTCTGTTATAACGCTACACTACCACAGTCAACTCATGGTTCTGGTATAACGCTACACTACCACAGTCAACTCATGGTTCTGTTATAACGCTACACTACCACAGTCAACTCATCGTTCTCTTATAATACTACACTACCACAGTCAACTTATGGTTCTGTTATAATGCTACACTACCACAGTCTTTTTTTTTTTTTTAAGACCTGCATTGCCTTGTAAGATAAGATTAATATCAATCAGTGTTCTATTTTTGACAATATGTTCTAAAGATTTTAACAGTTTATGTCTTTGAATAGTATACAAAGGACATTCAAGGAAGTAATGAAAAACATTCTCACATCTATGGCCACATTGACATGATGCGTCATTTTTTACATTTATTCTATATAAATCATAATTAAGTGTACTCGTCATATATCTTAATCTAGTGTGCATAACATTGAACTTCCTTATTCCATATGAATAATATATAGGTGCACATTTTTCCTTCACGTGGATATAAGATTTAAACGTGGCAACAGAGTCGCAATTTCTAATAGCTAAGGGAATATTATTCCACACTTTAACAGTTGATGGAATAAAAGATGACGTTGAGTACCTCAGTCTTGTATATGGTTGACTAAAGTTATTTGAGTTTCTTAACTCATAGCTTGTCTGGTTGCTAACTACAGGTGGGAGTAAATCTTGAAGAAAAACTGGTGTCAGTCATTTTTTAATTTTATAAAATAATGTTAATTTGCGTCTTCTCCTTCTCTCAGAAAGTAAATCCCATCCCGTTTCGTAATACAATGAACTGGAAGATGCATATCTTGGAAGACCAGTAACTATGCGCGCTGCTTCAAGTTGAAGTTTTTCTAATCTATTAGCTTGTTCAATTAAACATCCATCCCATACCTCGCATGCGTACTCAAAGTGTGGCCTTATGAATACAGTATATATGTTCGCTAGTGTTGCTCTATGTAATAAGAACTTTAATTTCCGAAATGCTCCAATCATTTTAGATGTCTTTTTGATAATGTTTTCAATATGATGATGCCAGCTCCCGTTAGACGTGAAGATTAAACCAAAATCGACTGTTTTATATTGCAGTTATCAAACTTCAAATTAATGTCTTTTGCCATCTTTCAAAGTAAATAATATAGCTTCAGTTTTTCCGGATTGTAGGAAATTAACCAGACCTTTGCCCAATCGTTTAATATTTCTAGATTTTCATTCATGGCTCTTTCCATCACTTGTTTGTGATTTGATAAAGTTCCCAGTGAAGTATCGTCAGCGAAAAGCCGAGTTATGCAATGTAGCTTATCAGCTATCTCATTTACACAATAAAAGAAATGGGCCTAAAACAGATCCCTGGGGAACTCCTGCTTTCAACACCATAGCTTGGAAGCGACCCATTAACAAAGACTGTTGATTGCGATCAGTTAAAACTATTAAACTAAGGAGTTTTCCACTGACTCCATACATCTCTAATTTAAGCATAAGCCCTCTGTGCCAAACTCTATCAAAGCCTTTGATACATCGCAAAAGACCATACAATCGTATTCTTTGTTATCGAGTGATGTACAAATTTGATTATAAATTTCTACAAGTTGATGTACAGTAGAATGACCTCTCCGGAAGCCACACTGATATTTGTATAACAAATCGTTTGACACAAAGAAATTATAAACATGCTTAAACACAACTCTTTCAAACAACTTCCCAACGCAACTAATAAGTGAAATTGGGCGATAGTTTGATACAACCGAATGGTCACCTTTCTTGAATAAAGGCATAACATTTGCATACTTCCATTGGCTAGGATACACATACAAATTTAGTGACATATTAAATAATATGCACAGGACTGGACTGATGGAATTAACAGTTTTTCTGAGTAATTGGTGACTAATCAGGTCTGGCCCAGCAGCTTTCTTAAGAGTAAGACATTTAATGATATCTGCAACCTCATTAACTTCGATTGTAATGTTTTCCAATACCGCATCGGTACGCTTGTCAAAATGTGGTAAACAAGTGGTATCTGCACCATTTAAATTAGATATAGACTCAAAATATTCATTTAACATATTAGCTTTATCAAAATCTGAAAAAGCTGATGGACAACCTTCATCTACATTTCTTTTCAAAGTGGGAATGAAGGAAGCAGAACCTGACGTCTTGATCAAACTGCGTAACATTTTCCAATATGATGATTTATTTTCACCATAAAGTTCGAATACAAATTCGTCAAGATTTGAATAAAAATGTTCTTTAGCATAGCATTTCATATTATTAACTTTATTACGCTGTTTTTTGTATTTCATAACATCAGTTTCCTTCCGTGTTCTCCTAGCTTTTTTTTCAGTCGATCCCGCTTCCTACTTTCACGTCGAATATTTGAGTCATACCATGGTTTGTCATTAGACCGTATCATCACAATTCTAGAAGGAATACATTGTTTGGTATAATCGTTAAAACGTTCATAAAATACACAGCAAGCATCTTCAACATTAGAACAGTCAGTAAATAGTGACATCCAATCCGTACTGCTAACAAGTGCATTCAGTTTTTCATAATCACCATTATTGTAACACCAAACTTTTCTAGGATATGCAACTTTAGTTGATACATGTACATCAAGGCTGACAAACGTGCCTTTGTGATCACTTATACTTTTATCAAAATCAACAACACCACTTTCAACAACATCAACTTCGTCACTAACAACTATTGGATCTAAAAGAGTGCTAGTTGTCTTAGTCACCCTTGTGGGTTTCGTTATAACATTACGTAAGTTTTTCTAAGTAAGATGTCTGTTAGGTTTAGATTGGATGTGGAAAGTAAGTTTTCATTCAAGTCACCGACAAGAGTAACTTTACTTGAAATATCTAAAGCACCTTCAATGCTATTGTCAAATCTGCTCCAAAAGTTGGCAGTATTACTTTCAGGCCTGTAAACTGTGCAAATGATTAATGGTTTTTGTGGAAGAAATATTTTAACCCATACAGATTCATCATACATATTTTCAAGATTTGAAAGTCTGTCAAAAGTTAAATGTCGAGATATATACATCATAACACCACCCCCAAAAGCATTTCTATCTCTACGTATCGGGTCATGAAACTTTTCCCAGGCCACTGTTTCATTATCTATACTTGAGTCTAAATGAGTCTCCGTGAAACAAACAACATCGTATTCAGATAAAAATTCCGACAAATAAGATTGCTTATTACGAATACTTCTAGCATTCAAGTGAAAAATAGACAGTAAGTTGTCTGTCTGAACAATAGGTCCTGGGTTAGACTCTACGTCACCAGCAAGCTGAAGTAACAATAGAAAAATCAGGATGATATTGACATTTGTAGCCTGTGATTGAAGTAGACATAAATACAAAAACACGCACCAAGCATTCAATTCCAACAATACTAAATTACACACAGTTTCTGCTTCAATGCATAGGAACCTGGCTAGTACATTTTTGTCAGCAAGTAAGCTACTGGTTTTCGAACATTTCTTATTGCTACTAGAACACGTGAAACAGTTGAATGACCCGATCGCCGCACGGTGTTGCATTATGTCATTACCCATACGGCTTGTTGATTTCATGTTGGTAGATACACGTGCGGATACCAGATCGGGTTATCTGCAGACATGATAATGAATTTGATAGTATATCATGGATTGGCAATACAGAATCTCTCAGTTGTTCTAAAGAGGAAGACAGAAAAATAGATATATACAGTGATTCAGTTTTGGATACATGTGTACTCGGAAATGTAACTTGAGAGTTGTAAAGTTTAAAGGTGAGATTAAGAATAGTATATACACAATTTAATACAAACATAAACAAGAAGAAAGACAGACTGTGTTGTGTGTTTATATGGTACATACAATTAATAAATAAATATTTACATACTTACATATTTGAATACCTTTAACATATAAGCCAAGCATGAATGTGAAACACATTTAAGTCACTACTGACGCCTATATTTGTCGAGGTCAGACTCACTTTGAATGACACGAATGAGTCCTTCCAACTGTTCACAGATATAAACCCTGCCATCGTATGTCCAGGTGGAATAGATCCTCTGCTCCTTCTTCAGATCTCTGGCGAGCTTGAACAGATGATTTCTGTACTTTGTCAGATCCTCGTTGATGTAGATATTGTCTCTTTTACCCTTGAGCTTGAACTTGTTCCTGATCACTTTGTTTCTGTCCCAATAACTCACAAACTTCACCAATATGCTTCTGTTCTGTTCTCGCTGTTTCTTGCCCACCCGGTGGCACCTGTCAATATCTGTGGGTGAAATATCCGAGTGCACATCCTTAAGCACCTCCAGCACAACTTCCTCAATATTTTCGTCCTCCTCTCCCCACTTGGGTTCCTTGATTCCCGATATCCTCAAAGAGTTCCTCCGACTGTACTGTTCTAGCTCGTCAGTCTTGAGGTGGAGTTCGACTCTCAAATCACGTATCTCCTGCTTGAGAGGGGCCACAACATCCTGTATTATGTCTTTCAGCGCTTCTTTAGCGACAGTCACAAACGATTCCCTGAACTTCTGCTGTAGAGCTGGTAACATGAGTGCATTACTCAGTTTCGTAGTGATCACATCCATGGAAGCATCACTGATGAAATTAAACAGTGTAGACGGGTAGGAGAGGTCCTGGTTCTGGTCGCCGTGACTTGTCCCGCTCTGTTGTGTGGGGGTCGCCATCTTGGTTTGCGTCGTTGATCTCGGCGGAAAGGAACTGCAAGATCCAAACGAAAATCACTTCTGGTAAATCAAGCTGTAGTGTCGATTGAACCATTCAGAAAATTTCAAAGGTAGTGGTTTCACGTGTTGGACTTCGGTGGCACAGAATCCAGTGGAGAACCAGATGGTTTTCTTTTTTCACTGCTGCTCCTCTGTGGCGCGGCCTGACCTGTGGTGTTTGCGCCCTTCCGTCCTCGTCTATCTCGTGAAGGCATATTTCACAATATAATACTTCAAAGACCTCAATATTCCCTTACACATGCTTCAGGATTATTCCGGTTGACATAAAGGCTATTACAGATCACCACCGTCAACACATGGTTCTGTTATAACGCTACACTACCACAGTCAACTCATGGTTCTGTTATGATGCTACACTACCACAGTCAACTCATGGTTCTGTTATAATGCTACACTACCACAGTCAACACATGGTTCTGGTATAAAGCTACACTACCACATTCAACTCATGGTTCTGTTATAACGCTACACTACCACAGTCAACTCATGTTTCGGTTATAACGCTACACTACCACAGTCAACACATGGTTCTGGTATAACGCTACACTACCACAGTCAACTCATGGTTCTGTTATAACGCTACACTACCACAGTCAACACATGGTTCTGTTATAATGCTACACTACCACAGTCAACTCATGGTTCTGTTATAATGCTACACTACCACAGTCAACTCATGGTTCTGGTATAACGCTACACTACCACAGTCAACTCATGGTTCTCTTATAATGCTACACTACCACAGTCAACTCATGGTTCTGGTATAACGCTATACTACCACAGTCAACTCATGGTTCTGTGATAATGCTACACTACCACAGTCAACTCATGGTTCTGTTATAATGCTACACTACCACAGTCAACTTATGGTTCTGTTACAACGCTACACTACCACAGTCAACACTTTGTTTCAATATAACGCTACACTACCACAGTCAACACATTGTTTTTGGTATAACGCTACACTACCACAGTCAACACATGGTTCTGGTATAACGCTACACTACCACAGTCAACATTAAAACGCTACATGGTTCAACTCATGGTTCTGTTATAACGCTACACTACCACAGTCAACACTTTGTTCTCACGCTACTAACGCAGTACACTACCACAGTCAACACTTGGTTTCTTATAACGCTACACTACCACAGTCAACACTTGTTTCTGTTATAACGCTACACTACCACAGTCATCTCATGGTTCTGTTATAACGCTACACTGCCACAGTCATCTCATGGTTCTCTCATGGTTCTGTTATAACGCTACACTGCCACAGTCTACACTTGGTTCTGCATATAATTGTGTGTACCGACTGGTGAATCAGCCACACCGCGCAGCACACAAAGCACAGAACCGGACATCGGCAGACTTTCTGCAGTGTTTTTTTTTCATATTTGGTTTTCTGTCAATACGTCTAACACGACCAAGTGCCTGCCAAATAAATCGTAGCGTTACTTGATGTCAGACCGAAAACTGACAGTTTTACACTCAAACTTGAGAGGGTCAATAAGATTTAGGGCCTGTCGTCTATATGAAGTAACGCTTCTTAGTAAAGTATCAACTGTACCTCGTGAAAGTTGTGCTTAACCAACAACATTGGACCGAACACTGTTGCAAGGTTAGTGATGGTAACAAGGTAACGATACGGTAGGTAACATACAATAGTGTACTCTCTGTGTCATACCGAGATGAGAAACTACTAGTATATAATGCATGGAACTCCTGTCTGTTCCCAGCTCGTCTTGTATACTGATAAAGGTGACAGTTTCATTGTCTGTCAGAGCAACATGTTTCTTGGGTCTGCGATACAGTGGTACTACACGTGTGCCATTACCCCTGTGTATATCACAGCACATTGTTGTCATTAGCAACTGACTGAAACGTACAGCAACATGTACTGGTGTGTATTGTCAAACAGCTATCTGTCAATCAACAGTCACCCTGTAGTTCTGAATAGGCTTACGCTACAGGGCGATCTGGTTGTGATATCTAGATAATTTCTGTCAATGGCGTCTTGTCCAGTCTTGTCGAGTCTGGACCAGATAATCCAGTGATCAACAGCAAGGGCATCGATCTGCGCAAATGGGAACCGATGACGTGTGTCAACCAAGTCAGCGAGCCTGACCACCCGATAACGTTAGTCGCCAAATACGACAAGCATGGGTTACTGAAGATCAATATTCTAACCCGGAATTTCACGGGTGAATAACGAAGGTAGGTGGCAAAATATTGATGTATCTCAAAGAAATTGTCCTGTGTGTAAAGTAGATTTAGAAGATGAATATAACTTCTTGTTGAAATGTCCAGCTTATAAAAAACTTCGGGGTAGATTATTGCCTAAGAATTTGCAGGTTAATGTGATATGGTTTAGCAATATCCTTAAACAAAACAAACCTGAAGACCAATCTAGCTCGTTTTATCTATTATGCATACAAAATAAGAGAAAGGTTAGAATAATAGAAATAGGTATTAAAATTCTAAAAACATCCAGTTCAGCTATTGATATATATGTTACAGATATTTTTCACTGGGGGTGTAAGATAATCTACACAGGTAGAAAGGTACATGCTAAAATGCTTACGAAATTGTTTCCTCTGTTCATACCTGTTTAGCATATGTATATTAATATGTATATGGGCCTGTGGCCTTCATACGTAATACAGATTTTGATGATGATGATGATGATGATGAACAAACATGACTAAATCCTACATTGACAGTACATGATATACAAAGACAAAGCAAGCTATACACGATGTTGTCAGGAAACAGGGTTTTGTTTGAAAAAGGAATTATGTGTTTCACAAAGCGAGAAATACGTATTTTGCATGTTTATTACAGACATTAAGTTTGTTACTTGAAAATAATAAAACCATTTTACCAAGAGTTGGGAACATGAAATGATATTGTGGAATAAGGCTGGAGTGCAAATCTGAATAAAATAGGCACACTAAACAAAAGTGGAATTCATCCTCAACGTTTGGGGTAATACATAATGGTATAACCGTTCATGTCTTGGTATTTTGTGATATCTGCCCGATTCTACTAGAAGACTGGTTTGATCCGCGGAATCTTACAATACTAATTCTATAGATTTTGACATTAATTAATCTGATGCAATTGCAATACTGGAAGATATCTGTTATAGATGAAAACAATTCAAGCTTTGAACAACTTTTAAGTTTTTCGTTGTAAACTTGATAAACATATGTTGGTGTCCAATATGTACACAATCACGCACATGAATGAACAGATGCGTACATGATATATTTGACGAAATTTGACCAAGACGGGGACCAAACATTTTTGTGCTATGGTTCTTTTTCATATATATTAGACATTCAGTAACAACAATTACTTCCACAGCCTGGTCGCTGGTCGGTGTTATAAGAATCAAGTAGATCCTCCTCCTCGTTGAGTTGCTCCTCCCTCCCCCTCCCCCCCGTTGCTGGTGGTCCCACGTTCGTGCATGTCCTCTAGGAGAGATAAAGTAATTTTGCATGGTATAAAACAGACCCAGGTTAAATGAATTATTCACGAGTTCCACAGTGGGCAATTGGCGGGAGGTTGTCAGAATTGTTTCCCGGCGTCTGACGTCGACTACAGACAGGAACAGTCAGCTCCATCCCATGGATATTGATTGTTTCACCACAAATTCATTTAGAGAACATTGTTCAATTTTTTATCTTGTTCGATTCATAGTGGATGACTTTGTGCATAACGGCTGCACATTTGCCGATGTGTGGCTATGAGTTCATGTAGGGTCATAGATAAGAAGTAATGAAAAGATAATACGGAGGCTACAGTGTTAGTGTTTTTATAAAAGCTCAAGTCTAGGCAGGTATAAGGTATATGGCTATTTCGTGAACAGGAAGAGATTTGTCCACGTGGCTAGTGCCGGACAATGTGTTTTGTTAGACTAAGATACATCACAGCGTGTGGTAGATGAACCGTTTAAGTGGGAATACATGTTTTCGGTATCCAACACTGAACAGAGAACTCAAAGTCTGATCGGATAATTCAGATTAAAACTCGCCCTTTATAACGTGTTTAGTCACAAACAAATAGACCATTTGACACCGGTCAAATATTTGATAAAGGTTTCCCCTGTACTCAGCAGATCTTCTTTGCGGCAAGCGCTGATAACTCACATAATCGATGCTATTTACCGACGGTGATAAAAACCCTTTGATATAAAACAAGGGAGACAATCGAAGAGAGCGGGAGCGTGTTTGATGTGTCTGATCAGCAGAGAGACGGCATTGTGCGATCGAACTGGAAGCAGAGAAATCCCGACTCGTATTTAGGAGAAAATCAATTCATTGCAGGGGAATATATAGACTCGTTTAGAAGAAATAGACAGAAGAACGCAATTTTGTTCCCATGGAAACGTTCACAACTGACCACACTGGCATCGTCTGAAACCATGTGAAGACGACTTGTGAGGGAAACTGGAACCACGTCCTGTCTTGGAGGTAGGTAAGCACATGTTCCTTCTGTGACGTGGAACAGAACATTTGAAGTATATAATTTGAAACGTGGAGTGGCCCCTTCGCCTGTATCAGACAGACGGTCGTCTCAGATAGGGCCTCGTTTGAACTGTGGTCGGTATGTTATCATCCTTATCAAATTATAATCGGATTGGGAAAACACTTAAATAACCCTATGGTGTAGGTGACTCAAAACAAAGTGTGACACATGGGTGTGATGTGTGACACGTGGCTGTGATGTGTGACACGTGGCTGTGATGTGTGACATGTAGCTGTGATGTGTGACACATGACTGCGATGTGTGACACGTGGCTGTGATGTGTGACACGTGGTTGTGATGTGTGACACATGACTGTGTTGTGTGACACATGACTGTGATGTGTGACACGTGACTGTGATGTGTGACACGTGGCTGCGATGTGTGACACATGACTGTGATGTGTGACACGTGGCTGTGATGTGTGACACATGACTGTGATGTGTGACACGTGGCTGTGATGTGTGACACGTGGCTGCGATGTGTGACACATGACTGTGATGTGTGACAAATGACAGTGATGTGTGACACGTGGCTGTGATGTGTGACACGTGGCTGCCATGTGTGACACATGACTGTGATGTGTGACACGTGGCTGTGATGTGTGACACATGACTGTGATGTGTGACACGTAGCTGTGATGTGTGACACGTGACTGTGATGTGTGACACGTGGCTGCGATGTGTGACACATGACTGATGTGTGACACGTGGCTGTGATGTGGGACACGTGGTTGTGATGTGTGACAAATGACTGTGATGTGTGACACATGACTGTGATGTGTGACACATGACTGTGATGTGTGACACGTGGCTGTGATGTGTGACACATGACTGTGATGTATGACACGTGGCTGTGATGTGTGACACATGACTGCGATGTGTGACACGTGGCTGTGATGTGTGAGACATGACTGTGATGTGTGACACGTAGCTGTGATGTGTGACACATGACTGTGATGTGTGACACACGGCCTTTGACGCAGGGCTGTGATAATGATGATCACAATTACATCTAAAACGATAATATCATAGATCGAGACCAGCGACAATAATCATAACGATATAACGATAACAGTGATAAATTCAACAACGAAATGACGTGAACGACATTAACCATACGAACGACAATATAATCATTATAAATAGAACCGCCTCAAAACTACAAAGTATGCTGGAACTGTACCCAGAACTTCAACATAAACATGTATTCCCGCTCGTTCAGATGGCGCCTCGAGGTAAAGGTCGCCTACCTCTCTGGTACATGTGTGAGATCAGTCTGTCGTGGGGCAGGTTTCATGTGCGATATTCATGATGTTACTGTTATCAGTACGGCAGATGTTGCCTCGACGTGGACGGCCTGGTTATAGGCGCTACAAGTATCACCTCTCCACGACAATAATTCTGGATAACGCACGACTTGGTATTTGTGTGGTTTACAGTGATGTATTAGTGCTCACGCTGACGTTTGTGGGGTTCAGTCGAGTATGTAAACTTGCGTCACCGCCCCCGGGGTGACCTTGACCTTCACATGTTCAACCTCATCCATCATGCCTCCCATTTAGGAAGCAGACCTGTTTGAAGTATCCATGTGTTGGAAGGAGTCACGATACTGTAAATACAACCTTGCCGATGAACGCTTGGCTCACAAGAATACGACGTCGTCCCTTTGTTTGTTACACCGTTACTGGTCACTGTCACTGGTCAGTGGCCAAGGTTATGATTACATATTAAATAATGGGGTCATTGTTGGAGCACTGGCTAATGCGCCCATGGTGTATCGATCCTGCTGCATCGCGCCCACGGTCAACATTACAAGGAATGCTGCAGGGAGGATATCGTGGTGCTTGTTGGACCCTCTGTTACGGCATGAACCATTCCGTCCATATGTCCATCCGCTGTCTAATTACTTGTTTCGTTGACCCATGAAGATCCGGGTTAGAATTGATCTTCAATAACTCATGCTTGTCTTAAGAGGCGACTAACGGGATCGGGTGGTCAGGTTCACTGACTTGGTTGACACATGTCATCATATTCAAAATGCATAGGTCGATGCTGGATTTTCTGGTCCAGACTCGATTCTTTACAGACCGCCACCATATATCTGGAATATCGCTGAGTACGGCGTAAAACTAAATCCACTCACTACTTGGTTGGTTGGGAAGAATAGTTGCTGTGTGACTTGACAACAAGATACAAGTAGTAGGTGAGTGAGTGAGTGAGTATGGTTTTACGACGCTTTTATCAATATTCCAGCAGCATCACCAGAAATAGGCTTCACACATTGTACCCATTTGGGGAAGCGAACCCGGATCTTCAGCGTGACGAGCGGACGCTTTAACCACTAAGCTACCCCATCGCCCCAATTAGTAGGGGATGCCAGTGAACATAGCGATGTGTTTTTATTGCATTGTGTTTAAATCTTTGCATTTCTTTCCAAATGACCCCAGTTAGTAAATAACCAACGTTGACCAGAATGTCGTTGCACAAAGTGATCGTACAATTAGCGCTAAGGTGATGGCATCGCGCATACCGTAGCACAGACCTACGAAATCGCAGTGCTAAGGTTTCCTTTTGTAAAACGCAACCCAGAACTAGAAATGGCCGATATTACGAGCACGTCGTAGGGATCGATGACACGCAACCAACAACGTCATCGGCCGGTGAAGTCGCCTTGTAAGACAAGCGTTTTACTTGGCACTTATCCAGGCAGTTTCACCAAGGATAGTGCCAACGTACACACATCAAATGATGGAAAACACCTCTCCACAGCCATGCGTCATATTGACACGATATCCAGGGGTTCCAACTTACTGTTTCCTTTCTTTTGAATCAATGCCACTGACCACTGTCAGGACTCAGATGTGATTGTACAAGTGATCAATTGAAAATGTTTCCAAATTAAAGACTTCGATCTAAAGTTTGGAACTCGAGAAAAAGCGTCTGTAGCGGCGTCCACCATTTTGGTTTGTTTATTTATACAACGAGTGCCGGTACCAATTCAATTTTGTTTTATTTATAAGGTTTAAATGTCACGCAAATGCAATTTTATGACCAATAAACATTCTCAAAACTATCGATGTGTAATAATAAAAAGGAAATACAAATGTTATTAGTAGTTTTGACTACATCACGAAAATTACCGATACGTATCGGGTGAACCGGTTCGCGAAAAGTGTACCGCAATATGTCGTATTGTGAAGTTCGAATAGCAGTATACCGGTAAACCGGTATTATCACTCATCCCTAATGTGAAACCCCGGTGCTAAGTTAATCTCTCATTACTCAAGTGGTTTGACAGGACGTAGAGACAGAGAAATAAATGGTCGCGATGTTCTGAAGCTTGTAATGCGCTGCTGCCTGGTTCTGGATCTGATGTATATGCCTATTATTTTAGCTGAGACTACTATCACTACAGGAAAGCATAGCACCTGCACGTACATGTATCTTGTTAACACACAGTTAACTATAAGAGCAACACGTACAACCAGATTATTGGACTGTGTCGTGTCTTATCATGTACTTCACGAAAATAAGTGTATAGTGATTCCCAGGAGCTGCTGGACTTGCAATAATTGTCACAACAAGATTCATTCGAGTAAATATGATTTACTCCTGTATAGATTGGTATAGATTCATCACCTCACTGTGGTGCTGGAGGCAAATGTATGTAACACATGATTTTTTCAAGCGTCCTGTGAATCTTGATCTGGGATTGTTGGGTTGAGCATTTGTTTCAGCTTTCGGGGCCTGGGTCCAGCTTTTAACAAGTTTTGTTTTGGGCGTGCTGGTTGCATTTCCAAGTTTGACGTATTAGCTGGGAAAAGACTTATGTACCCTTTTGACTTGTACCGAGTGTTCCCTATTTCTTTTGATGAACCACTGGCCTGCCATTGAATGTTTGTTTGTAGAGCGTGCCACCGGTTGCAGTTGTTCTTTATTTCCATCAACAAAACTCGCGTGAAAGCAATATATATACCCAAACGAAAAATTCCGTGATAAAGTAAAGCAACGTCATACAGGTGTATCACCAATGGGTCTTAAAAATGTTTTACCTATTTGTTTATAATGTGTTGACCGTTCACTTTCAAGTCCAGTTCAAGATAAGCAAGCCAGTGGTTGCGCCATTAAGGTCACCCAGATGGACACTGGCCTTTCCAAGCAATCGTCTTAAGGCGCAAGGGTTATAGTCATATGGACTTGAGAATCAGAACAGTGAAAATATGTGAAGAGATGTGTCGCTTTAAGCGATAATACTTCCATTACTTAACACTGAAATCCTGACTAGAACCTTAATAAGAGATTCTAATATATGGATCAAAAGGCAGCTAAATCTGTGAGAGGAAAGGTTGTTTTTGTTAAAATATATAACAATCATTGTCAGGTTGAAGAAATGTAGATTTGCTAGAGTATTGTAAACTTCGCTGGGACCTATTCTCTTTTACTAAACCGGGTATGTGTTAAAAATACAAATATACAAAAACAAGAAACGTCCATCTAACCTATATGATGGTTGGGTCATATGTGTCTGGTTATCACGTTATATTCGTTTACAGGCCACGATGTAGTCCTTACTTGAATCTCTGAAGTGAAAATAAAAGACAAGGTGTGACAATGGGTGTGTTTCACGTGACTCTAGACTTGTATACTATTTAAGCCAAGTATATAGGTATACATTCCCCCGTTTCGTTTCTGGGGCTGTATGGCAGACAACACAGGTCGATTAAATGGGTAATGCTTCATAAATATACTAACATAAGGTTTTCTCGTATGTTGGACGGGTTGTGAGACTCACTGACTTGGTTGACGCATGTCATCGTATCCCAATTACAAAGATTGATGCTCGTTGCAGCGAGTTATGAACAAAATGCATGGACATCATCCAACACTGTTGTGGTTTGTCTGAATGTTAATGCATTACTTGCTCTAATATTCAGCCTTGGTAGTTTTTCG